GAAAATGGCATCTTGAAGAAAAAGGATGACAGAAGACAGGCAACTTGTAATTTGGTCCTCTCTGAGGATGCTCCCAACGCTTTGTGTGGATGTATGTTCCTGTGTGCTGGCGTGAGGCAGGGAAAGTGCACACACACGAGGATGCTCACAACGCTCTGTATGAACGTATGTTCCTGTGTGCTGGCGTGTGGCAGGGAATGTGTACACACACGAGGATGCTCACAATGCTTTGTGTGTATGTATGTTCCTGTGTGCTGGCGTGTGGCAGGGAAAGTGCACACACACGAGGATGCTCACAATGCTCTGTATGAACGTATGTTCCTGTGTGCTGGCGTGTGGCAGGCAATGTGCACACATGAGGATCCTCCCAATGCTTTGTGTGGATGTATGTTCCTGTGTGCTGGCGTGAGGCAGGGAAAGTGCACACATGAGGATGTTCCCAACCCTTTGTGTGGATGTATGTTCCTGTGTGCTGGCGTGAGGCAGGGAATGTGCACACATATAGACCAGATGTCAACCTTATGTATCATTTTTAGGAACCATCCAACCTTGCTTTTTTGAGACACGGGGTCTCATATTTGGGATGTGGCAATTAAGACAGGCTGGCCAGTAGACCTCGGAGATCCACCTGTGTCTCGCCTCACCACGAGGATTACAAAGCTGGGCCATGACGCCAGCTTCTTACATGGGTGCTAGGGACTAAACCCATCTCCTCATGCTTTCTCAGATAAACTGACTCTCCCCAAAACGCTGGTTCCCAGAGTTTGGAGGCTTCCAATCTACTCTGGGGATTTTCAGACTGGACATCATCTCTTGTCAGGAGCCCTCTGGAAGAAAATCACAGGGTTCATTGAGCATGACTCACCCCGGGCTCTCCTTCACATCAATCTTGGCCTACAATGAGGTGTCTCAGATTCAACTCCACAGCAGCATGCCCTTTTCATGGGTTCAGATAAAATGAAAGAAGAGTTATATTCACAGACTCTGAAAGACACTGTAGCGAGTCCCACGTTAGGGTTCTTCATTTGCTTGTTTGGGGGATTGTTTGGCTCTTCTGAAATAGTGTCTCGTGTGGTCCAGGCTGGTCTCTGATTCTCCACGTAGCTGAGGAGTAAACTTCTGAGCCTCCTGCCTCGGCCTCCCCGGTGCTGGGATTACAGGTCTGCGTCGCTGCTGTTTCCAGCATCTGGTGTGGAGACCTTGCTGTGTCTCCAGCACCACAGTGCCCATCTCTGTCTCCCCTCAGCTGACCTTTGTCCCAGTCGCCTGTTACAATCACCAGAGGAATGCAAGGAAAATACCATGGGCCTACCCCACAGCAATTAATTAAACCATCATTTTTGGGCTCTGGCATGCTGCAAACACTCCCTAGGTAGGTCTAACTTGTGTGGAGGTTATAAACTGGCTGGCCATAGGCAACAGGCCCAGGTCGGCTGGGGCAGCAGCTTCCTAGCCTGGGTAGGCACCTCTCAGGGGAGCACTCCCAGTCATGTGACCAGGGGTAAGTCACCCTGCCATCCAACAATTTGCATACATCTTTTGGCTTCCAGGAAAGGAAAGAGTTGTGTAAACAGCAGAGCTACTGCCCTGGAAGGCATACCTCCCAGCCCCAACCCCAGAGCAGAGTATATAAAATTATTTTTAACCCAGCGATGCAAAAAGCTAGCAGTTAGACTAAATCAACCATGAGGGTGAGCCTCATGGTGTAGGGGACAACACTCTCCTCACAGGACAGGGAATGTTGTCAGGATTCAGTGGGGGGAAAGAGCTGGGGGATCAGAGAAGGGATTGTATTCCATATAACCAGGAAACCTCCAAATTAGGGGAGGGCTGCTAAGCTTCTCAGCCTTCCTAACGCTGCGGCCCCTTAATACAGTTCCTCACGCAGCAGTGACCCCAGCCATAAAGTAACTGCATTCCTACTTCACAGCTGTAATTTTGCTAGCGTCATGAATCACGATGAAAACGTCCGATTCGCAGGAGATCTCATCTACAAGCCCCACAGGCTGAGAACGCAGGGTTAGCGTGTATTTAAACCGCAGCCTACCCAGTGACTGTGAACCTCAGTGGGCTCCAGTCAGTCCGTTTCAGGCTTGATTTTAGTCGAGGGAGCAAAAAGCATCAAGGGTTTCTCCTCTCTTTCTTTAAGAAACAAGGACATGTCTCCACACTTGAATTTGCCACTGCGCCCGTTTTTGCAGACCGTGAGCTGGCACTGGGACTCCCAGACTTGGTGTCCACAAACAGCAGCACCCGGTCGTACCAGCAGGTGCAAGGACTGAGCCCTACGGGGGAAAAATATCAGTGCAAGAACAACGGCGCCATTATGACACAAAGGGACAGGGCCTGGGGCTAACCACTTGTCCACACCGTTTGAGGGCACGCAGAGCTGGACGCACAGCCACAGCTCCCTAGGATTGTAGCTGCCCCTGAATGACAGCCACTGAGAGAGCCAGGAAGAGCCCACAGCAAGAACAGCAGTCATCAGCAGAACCGGACCAACCACCCAGTTAGTGTGTGTGTGGGGGGGGGGCCTGCAGAAAAACATTCCTCTCCTTTTAACATAACTTCTCCTCTCCTGGGTACGCTGCCACAGTCACCAAGTTTACATTTACATCCAAATATGCACACACACACAAAAAAAATTACCGATGCATCTCACTCCCTGGTGACTTTATAACAGGTTGCTAGGTAACAGTGCATACAAGTCAGGTTTCAGGACCTCTAGTAAGCCACCATAAAACAGCTGCATGGGCCTTTTGCATAAACAGTGTGCCTTTGCTATCTGTTTTCTTACGCCAATTGATCAGTCGGTAAATTCTCCCATGGCCAAACCATAAGCAGCGCCCCCCCCATCAACAACTGAAAACAACAGACATGCTTCACCCCAACCTACAAACCGCTTCTCCCTCTGCCTCTGCCGTTCCGATGCTCCGGCTCTGAGCAGGCGGTAGCCTTTTCTCATGCTCACTGAGGAGCGCTGGAGGTAATAATCACACCACAGGGCCTGGTGGGATGCGAACAGGCTGCCGCCCAGAGCTAAGCCCAGCAGGGGCACCACGTCAGACACCAGTGGTGCAGCCCCAGATCGAGCCTGCCAGGCAGCCCTGAAAGGACCTGGATTCCAGGCGAAAGGGACCCCACCTTATGACATGCTATGTAACCCCTACTCAGTAAGGAAACATCCACCATGCTAAGCTATGCTAAATGAGTATGGCATTTGATGTCCGTCTCCTGAGATTACACAGGAAGGCCCAGAAAAGGAGCTACCCACGGGGAACATCGTGTCTTTTTCATTGTTACGTTATGGTTTGGGGAGACAGGGTTTCATACAGCCTAGTTGGTCCTTCTCCCAAGTCTTGGGATTGTAAGTGATCACCACCGTGTCTAGGTTCCCTAGACACCGTAAAGGGTCTGGAAGGCCCAAAGAGAGAACCCATTTTCCTCATATTCTGGGTTGAAAAAAAAAGATAAATATAAAACGTGGAGTATGTAGAATCCCGTTTTCCCTGATGCTGAGACGAGAAAAGAGACACAAGAAGGTGAGGAACGGGAGCCTGGGCCAGATGAGGTAAGTGCCTGTGGCCGGTCCAGGCAGCAGAGCATCTGCAGAGCGAGCACTACAGCTCATCCCGGAGCCTCCCCTGCCCCCTGCCATCGTGGGTCCTCTCTCGGATGCCTCTTTTTCCATCCCTTCCGTCTTCTGTCCCCCGACCCTACTCGTGTCTCCCACTGCTGAGGGGCAAAGATCAGGGTGAGGAGGTACGTTTGGAGAGACCCGACTGAAGTGTCACAGAGCAAAGGGACTTCAGAGTGAGGCTGAGCCTCTCATTCACCTGGCGGTGACATTTAGTGAAATACGACGCACGGTCCATTTAAAGGAAGGCGGTGACCAATTATTCTCCATTTAAAGGGTATTGTCAATCTCCAGAGAGCTGAAATGGCATTTGGAAATCATCCTGGGGACTGCCACCTTCACTGACAGACAGAACCCATTCTCAACCGACCTTTCCCCACCCTCTACAATGCCTTTAAAATTTAAAATTGTATTTTCAAAAACAGCATAGGCCTACGTGTGTTATTGCTCCGAAAGAGCAAGGAAAACATCTCCCAATGCTCCACCCCAGTGAAACATCGCTAGTTCCTCGGTCTTCGAAAAGTAAAAACATACAGTTGCAGTATGAAAAAAGTGTCTATTAGCAAGACACAGATGGAAAGCAGTGTCTATTAGCAAGATTTCTTTTTCATAACATGCATCAGCCACTTTACAAAGGGCATTAGGACAGTTGGGAAGGAGGTTTGAAATTTTTTCTTAAATTCCACTCTACTGGAGTGCTCACAACGGTCAAGTTCATAAAGGTAACATAGCGGTTAGCAGAGGCTGAGGAGACAGTTGGCAGCAACTCTGTCACTTAATGATACATTTTGAGAAAGGTGACGTATTTCCAGAGATGGCTACACAACAATGTAAGTGTTAATGCCACTAAAATGCACACCCACAAAAATGTCTAAACCAGGACATCTGAAATATGTTTTACCTCAACACAAAGGTCCTGAGAAACTCATGATAACCTTTAACCTCTGTCTACGAAAAATCTGTAAATCTTCATGGTAGACTCTGTATATGTTCTTCAAAAGGCTTTGCAATTAAAACAGTGGAGACCCTGAATATCAAATAAAAAAAAAAGGGAGATGCACACAGACGCACTTCAGCTAAGACCCAAGGTTGCAGGAAGCAAAAGACACAAAGGCCTGAGCGCCGCCCAAGGAAGAGCCCAAATCCGGGCAGGAGTAGGGGGCGATCCCTAGCGTTTCCAGACCCAAGCAGAGTAATGACTGCTTTCAGAGGAATACCAAAACAAAAAACATTAAAAAAAAAAAAAGGAGGGGCGGGGTAAAGGGAGAGAGGGGAGGCTGAGAGCGCAAGGAGCCTTGAAATCGTCTGGCCCTGTCCTCGGATTGTACAGATGAGAAAGAGAACACAAACCCTAGGCAAGTACCTGACAGCTTCATGAGAAAATCGGAGGCCATCTTAACCGAGATGTCCTGGCTGAACAATGCTGCCGCACTGTTGGACACATACTCGGAGGGGTCTTTCAGCTTTGCATGGTTGGCGGGCCTGTCGGCAGCATTCAGGGTAAAGGAGGCGGGCAGGCCGTTATCTTCCTTGGGTTCCTCCTTCACCAGCAAAGGTGCAACGCCAGCCCCACCCTGGCCAGTCCTCTCTGGAGTATTAGACGTCATCACGGTCCCCACTAGCTCTGTCCCTCCTCCTTCCCTCGGCTGCCCCAGGCAGCCACTGTCACTGAGGTGGGGGGATCCCTTGACATCTGGGTCTGGGATCTCCTCCTTCACCTTGGCCTCCGTCCTCAGGAAGTGCTGATGGCAGCGCATGTGCAGCTTCAGGCTGAAGTGGCGCGAAGAGGTGAAGGGGCACAGCTGGCACTGAAAGGTCTCTCCCCGGTCCTGGTGCTGATGAACCTGGCGGAGAAGCAACGAGAGAGCTGAGCAGCAGGCCGCCGGGAGCTTACGGGACACGCCTGTCTGCGGCCGCACGCACGCACGCACGCTCGCTCGCTGCCACGCACGCTCGCTGGCACGCACGCACGCTCGCTGCCACGCACGCTCGCTGCCACGCACGCTCGCTGCCACGCACGCTCGCTGCCACGCACGCTCGCTGCCACGCACGCTCGCTGCCACGCACGCTCGCTGCCACGCACGCTCGCTGCCACGCACGCTCGCTGCCACGCACGCACGCTCGGTAGCCGTGAGCTTACGGGGCATGCCTGTCTGCGGCCGTACGCACGCACCACGCACGCACGTTCATCAGTACGTCCTGCCCCCCCACACCACCACCGCGAACACCAGTGGGCCCATGGAGTCAAGTTAAGCCGCCTATCCCGACAGCCTCGATGCTGTCTTGGGACGAAGTTTTCTAATGAGCTAGTCGTGTGACCTCCCTTGATAGACCTCGTGCACGTATGTCACCAGCAGTCAGGGATCCAAGGGCACACAGCCTTTCGCGAAATTCTTGTGACAACCCTTCCGGAAGAGCTGCTGCTTGGCCCACACAGTGGCAATATGCATGGATGCATGGATGGGTGGATGGATGGATGGATGGATGGATGGGTGGATGGATGGATGGATGGATGGATGGATGGATGGATGGATGGATGGATGGATGGATGGGTGGGTGGGTGGGTGGGTGGATGGGTGGGTGGGTGGATGGATGGATGGGTGGGTGGATGGATGCGTGGATGGGTGGATGGGTGGATGGGTGGGTGGGTGGATGGATGCATGGATGGGTGGATGGATGGATGGATGGATGGATGGATGGATGGGTGGATGGATGGGTGGGTGGGTGGGTGGGTGGGTGGGTGGGTGGGTGGGTGGCTGGGTGGGTGGGTGGATGGATGGGTGGGTGGGTGGATGCGTGGATGGGTGGATGGGTGGATGGGTGGGTGGGTGGGTGGGTGGGTGGGTGGCTGGGTGGGTGGGTGGATGGATGGATGGGTGGGTGGATGGATGCGTGGATGGGTGGATGGGTGGGTGGATGGGTGGGTGGATGGATGGATGCATGGATGGGTGGATGGATGGATGGGTGGGTGGGTGGATGCGTGGATGGGTGGATGGGTGGATGTGCCTCCGGGGCATTGCCCCTTCACAGACGGGGAGATGGAACACCCCTGCCCACCAAGAAGTAGTGTCTTGACCCCAGTTCCATATGAAGAGAGGAGAACGGGAGAAAGACCCTCTCTGGGCAGGGGGACACCAAGCCGGAACGCCACCACAGGGCAGTGACAACAGTCTTTCACGCCCAGCTCCAACCCCGCCTATACCCAGGACCTGGAAAAATGTCGAGAAACGTTGCTTTCTTCCCATCACTACGAGACTTAGTGCTTGAGAAAGTGAGGAAACCGAGCCTGGCTTCGAGCTGGCAGGCGTTCACCAGCTTGTGACTTCCCCATGCATCCTGACGGCGGCGTGCCTCAGCGCTGACCCGCTACACCCTGCTATTTCGGGACTGGCCCTCCCTTGAGCAGGGACTGCCAGCCAGTGGTGCAGATCTAGTCCAAATGATTGGGGGGGCGTGTGTTCCGGACAACCAAGAACGCAAGCAGCTGGCGCTCAAAATGAAACTGACCGCCCACCGGCCAGGGGTGACCTGAGTGGGATTTGAACCCGGGTCTCAGTGAAGCGAGAGGCTCATTTGTTCATCGTCTGTACCACCACCTGGCCACTTTGCTCAGGCCTCGTTTCCAAGAGAGCACAAGTTTTACTGCAGCTGTTTATGCCTTCTGAATGAGATCCAAAAGCATTCTCCACCAGCCAAAACACACTTTAAATAATGTGAAGTGACCAACAAAAGCAAAGAAATTAAAAGTTAATCGCGAGATCCCGCTGCCACAGCACCCCACTGTGGCTTTTTGCAAAAAACAACAAAAGATATTCCAGGCCCCTCAAAGCCTGTGTTTCTCAACAGAAGCAACGGTAAAAGCTTAAATGCAATCGTGACAGAGTCCTGCCCATGAAAAGGCTTCCTCGCCTGTACCCCGGCAGAGGGTGGCAGTGAGGAAACCACCTGCCCCTCACACAGCGGAGCCCCTTCCTGTTCTCTGGGCGCTGATCCTTTCTTTACCAGACTCACGGGATCCAGAAGTCGTCCCCCCCCTCCAGTTCCTCAGCCCAGGTCACCCAGGAGGAGGCCCCTCGGAGGTCTCAGGTCACAGCCTCAAGGACTCCTGACAGGTGTCAACACAGGCATGCCCAGAGCCAGGAGGTACAGGTCACCGGGCAGGAAGCGTCTATGTCCCTGAGCCCAGCGCCACAGGACAGATTCCATTTCAGAAGTGTGCTCACATCTACTGAGCCCAGAGAGGAGCGAATCCAAGAATGGAAGCTCCCAAGGCCATGCTGGAAGAAGAAACAGCACAGACGAGAGCCCAGGCTCCCAAATCAGTGGGGGGGGGGGGGGGGGGACGGTGAAAAGAGACACTACGTGTGGGATTTCTTGGGGTTCCTCTTCTACCCCAACCTGGCCCTGCTGTACTTAGCCTTAGGGAAACTAGCGTTAGTTGGAAGGCAAAAGGCCAAAATTGGGTTTACTTTGGCACATGTAATTTTATTTACGCTATACCTTCCCACCTGAAATTCAGCTTAAAAGTGGCCTATGAGAGAAGCGCCAGCCCTACCCACCAGCGGCAGCACGACCCTCCTGTCCCGACGGAAGAGGGCTCTCTCTGTCATAATTTCTCTTCCCTTTAGCCAAACACGTGCTTTAAAGTCCCTCTTAGACCTCTAACGAGAAAAGATGCCGGCCAGCGGCATGACAGTCTCATCTCCTGGGTAAGCAGACGTGGGACACTCGGCTGAAGTTATTTCAAGACGTGGAGAAATTCTGGAGATTGTCTACACCCAACTGTTAGGGGCCAGGCTAGGCAGGCGAGGGTCTTATGAGTGGTCCCAGCTCTCGAAGTGGCGACCTGGGGAGGGCAGGGCCCACGTGTGACCTCTGGCCCAGTTTCACTCCATTACTTCGTTAGCGTTCTCTCTCTTCGGTGCCCTCTTTGCCTTTCCCGGCCAGTTTTAGCTCATGACTCTCACACTCGGCTCCTGTGTGCTTGCTCACTGGGGAAAGTTGCGGAAGACCTCGTGAAGTCTAAGATAACCCTGAGGGGCCGGAAACATTTGCAACTGGTCATAAAGGCAACTGCACGTTACATTATGGAGGGAATGCAGGCTTACAAAAAACAAACCAACAAAAATCTCAGTTCCTAGGCCTGTGTGTGAACACGCTGAGTGCCTAACTGGTTGAACAAATGATGTGGAATCTGTGTTTTTCTGACGTAAAACAATATAATCAATATAGGAGATTACATATCCTGAAGATAATGGCTACTTCTGTGGGATGAGGTAAATGGCCAATTTCATATTCTTTGTATCAGTTTTTGTGAATTCTCAGTACTAAAGATAGATCATAAAAACAAGGAAGCCACAAAACTTGCTTTGGAGTAATTTCTTCTAGCATTCCATTCATTATCCCTAAATGTAAACATTACTGTATTTTCAGATGGCTTGGATGACAATCACTGCATTAGCTGTATTTACTGACGGTGGCCTCTCCACGCTGGGCTCTGTATCATGAACAACCGCATTTAGCTCTTGCCCAGTGAGAGAGACCAGGTTTGCTCTCTCCATTAGTGGTAACGGAGGTTTATAGGGTTTCAACCCTACTACTAAATGCTCATGGCTCCTGAGCCATGGACTATCACTAAGTTAAAGCTGGATCTTAACCTTTGGCTAGAATGCCCTACTTCTCAGATAAAATCCCTTTTAAAAAGTTATCCGCATTTGCAGCCTCTGGTAAAGGCTGTGCATATTCATGAGATCACACCATAACATTCCTATAGAGAAACTACTTGCCAAATTCTGCAAAGTTAAATCATATTCAAATAAAAAAATGTTTTAAGGCCGACAGGAGGAGGAGGACAGCAGGGACGAGAAGGTACGGCTTTGATAAAATTAAACTTGCATAAGAACTTCTCACAGTTCCCTATCAAAAGGAGTCATAGCTCAACAGGTTAGGACACCACGAGTTTGAATGCAGTAGCGATTTCACACAACTGCTTTATTGTAGTGGTTATTGATTTGTTCTGAAAGCACTCAGGACCCCACGACCTGCCAAGCCCAGGCAGCTCTCTTCTGCAGCACCGTCATCAAGGCACCGGCTCATCTCCCTGAAGCGTCGGGGTCAGCAGTCCCTGCTATTGAAACCCAGCCTCTCTTCCATGGGTTTATAAATAGGTTGTTTTAAGTGACCCCGAGCCGAAACCAAGTTTACAAGGTGTCAGGGTAGATGCAAGTTTTCTGCTCGCTGAAGCTTGAAATTCACCAGGCCTGATTTCTAAGCACAGCTTAAGACCCAGCTGCTAAAGCAAGTTCCTTTTGAAGTCTCAACTACAGGTTTAAAGTGTGAGGTTTTGCTTAGGGAAAAGGAGACCGAGGATGAGGAGGGTTAAGGTAATAACCAAATAGCCTCCGTAAAATTCGGTCAACCAGAACTCCTACTTAAATGAGTTCTGAAGATGAAGGGCTAGTCGCTAGCCACTGACCCTAGGAGAAAAAGGCAAATGATAGAAAAAAATTACATCATGGATTTACTTCTTTTTAGTCTTCTAAGCTATTTCCTATAGTGAATAGGAATGTTGTATGACTGCACTTTCTAGAGCTTCAGTTCTGAACAGCAATTACTGATCTATTCAGAAAGACTCAAATGCAAGACCTCCGCATTAGCAAATATCCACTAGACTTATCCTGGGAAAGGAGACACTTTATCCATGACGTCATGTCTAAGGCAGTGAGAGTTATATGTGAAGATGCCAGGTGATGATTACGAACACCTGAGGTCAGCCACTTAGCTTCTGCTGTCTCCTGTAATACTAAGGATGACTCCTGCATCTGTGCCTTCCCATTTCGTAGAAGGGAAAACTGACAGCCTGACCGGACTTGTTCAAACCTGTTTGTCTAGCACAGAGCTGGAAGGATTTCAATTCAGGCCTTTGTCAAATTCAAAACTTCAAGCTCTCATGACCTCATGAGTTCCCCCACCCCCACCCCTGAAGCCAAAACAAAAGCTCGGTATAAAAAGAGCTATTTCTATATTGCCAGATTCCCTCATTTCTGAACGTGGATTCCAGTGAGTTCTCTAAAGGAGTATGGCAGGTATGAGCTTCCCAAATAAATGGTTTTTGCTGTTTCCTCCTATTTTCTGTTTTCTTTAATTTATATATTTTTGTTTTATGTACACTGGTGTTTTCCTGCATGAAGGTCTGTATGTTGGATCCCTTGAAACAGTTCAGACAGTTGTGAACTGCCATGTGGGCAGTGGGAATCGAACCCCAGGCCTCTGAAAGAAAAGTCAGTGCTTTTAACCACTGAGCCATCTCTCCAGCCCCCTTTTCCATTTTTCATGGGTGTGGTGTCCATGTGTGTATACATGTTTGCATTTGTGTGGGCACCCATGTGCATGATTATACACACATATGCATGTGTGGAAACCTCAGACTGAGGTCAGGGTCCCTGATCACTCGTCTACCTTACTCGTGGAAGCAAGGCTTTTCAGTCAAAGCAGAGCTGGTCTTACCTATCCAGCTTGCTCTGAGGAATCCTGTCTCCCCCTTCGGAGGGTGGGATTACAAGGAGTGAGTTACCTACACCCTGCCCACTACTTACAATGGCTTCTGGGACTTGGAACTTGGTCCAACTGTCAAGAGATTGACTGCTGAACCCGCCCCAGCCCCCAGAAATGTTTTTAGTAAGACATTGAAAAGGATACGAGCCATTTAGTCCAAGCACTCAGGAGGCAGGGGCAGGAGGATCTGAATTTGAGGACAGCATGGTCTGCAAAGCAATTCCAGGACAGTCAGGACTACACAGAGAAACACAGTCTCAAAAAACAACAAAACAAAAAGAAGAAGAAAATGATGTCCTTGGATGTTTGGGGTCACCACGAGCGATGCTGCTTCAAACCCCACCAGTCTCGAGAACCTGATCCTAAGACCTAGGTCCTCTTGAGGAAGGAAGTCCCTCTGCATTGTCCTCACAAGCCACTGCTAGCACTCTTGGGCCTGTTCCAACACAGTGCTCCTGTTGGCCAGAAGCCTGGGCAGTGGGGAATAGGAAGCAGCCCACCATCCCATCCACAAATGTCTTACCTTCATGTGGGATTTGAGATTGTCCTTGCGAGCACACCGGAATGGGCAGAGCGGACATTGGTGGCTTTTTAAACCTGTGTGAATGACCATATGCCGCTTCCAGTAACTCTTCCTTTTTATGACCAAACCACATATTGGACATTGGAAAGGCTTCCCGCTCTCTTCTTCTGGGGCTTGGAAGAGGGAAGAAAAAAATGGGGAGCATTAAGGAAAGCAAAAAGGCACGTTGTGTCCGACGGTACACATATTACTATACTAAAAAGCATTAAAAAATGACTCTGGTGCCACCCCCTTTGGCAATTCTAAGATTACAACCGTGGGGAAAGTTTTCAGGCCACTTTTCTTTAGGGAGACACCTCTTTCAGCCACACTTCCATATGGTCATCCTCCCTGTGACATCCTCACTCCCAAAGGCTGCCATATACTCACAGGACACCTGCAGAGGAGCTGAGCCTGGTCCCCAAAGCACCCACAGCCAGAGAAGCCTGAGTCTGTCTGAATTTCCACTTGGAAATGAGTGAGAAATAAAGGCAATCACATGCAACAGAGAATACTGCACTGTTCCACACAGAAAACCAAACAACTAGCAGAAACCTCACACACTGGCCTCCAGTGGAGACAAGTCTCAGCGTCCCATGGCTGGCTTGTTTAGCTGTGGCTCGTTCAGACGGAGGTGGCTGCCAGTTTAGCCGTCAGGGGTCCTGAGTCAGGATTCGTTTTCTTCTTTTCTTTCTCTCTCTCTCTCTCTCTCTCTCTCTCTCTCTCTCTCTCTCTCTCTCTCTCTCTGTCTTTCTCCCTTCCTTCCTTTCTCCCTTCCTTCATTCTTTCCTTCCTTCCTTTCTTTCTCTCTATCCTCTTAAGTCTGTTCCTCTGCTTGCCTCTGTTAACGTGTACTGACTTTCTCTGATCTGCACGGGGCCTGGCTACCTACTGTAGGAAGGGACAAACACTTCAGTTTTCAGGGAAGCAAGCAAACTAACTGCTTCCCCTAAGTGCAGCTCCGATCTGTCTCCTGCACCATCCCCACAAGGGAGTGTCTCTGGGACACTACTGCTGAATCTCCGACCCCTCAATTAACCTCTACAATTTGGGGATATGGGGAGTAAAAACTGGTGCAGGTGAAGGCTGTGTGTGTGCGCCTACCCTCCCATGTGTCTGTCTGTGTGCATGTGTCTGTGGGTGCATGTGTGTCTGTCTTTGGGGGAGGCTGGAGTTGAACCTAGGCCTCCTCTGCCATTGAAATACACCCCAATTTCTTTTAATTTACTTGAAACTCACTGTCCTGGCTGACTGGTCAGTGAACTCCGGGAATCCTCCTGCCTCTGCTTTCCCAGCAACGGGACTATAGGTGTGCACTGCCGTGCCTGGCTTTTGCATCCTAGCTTGGGTCCTCAATCTTAGGAGGCAGGAACTTTACAGACTGAGGTCCCTCCATTCACCGCATTAGGGCATTTATCCCGCGGAATCCCCTATGCTCTGTGGCCGATTGCATCCCCACAGTACGTTTGACTTTTTAAAATCATTATTACTTCTGCTTCTGATAAACTGCTAGTTTGAGGCTTGAGTAGGATTTTCTGACAATAATTCAGACATGGCACATCAGAAGGCAGGCATCATAGACCTCTGGCTTTGACATGCACTCCCACATGGTTTTTTTTTATTGTGTGTGTGCCTGTGCGTGCACCCCTTACACACACACACACACACACGCACACACACACACTCAGGCACGCACACACACGAATGGGAGGGAATTATGGTTAAAAAGGAATACACAAAAGCAAATGGAAAGTGTGAAACTCATTTGGATCCTGGGTAAACTGAACTCTGGTGAGAGACACCTGTGAGATCAGAAAGGGAACCAGGGAGGAGGGGCTGCCTAACACCCCACAGCAACGGCTGGCTCTTCAGATGGGGCGGCAGAACCGTGGTGGGCCTTCTTCGGGAGTTTACAAGCAAACAGATATGACGTTTTCTCTGTTTTGAAATACCAGAGCAAGAAAGAAAACGGGGAAGTGGGGAGAAAAGCTAATGACACGAAGCTAAAAACCACGACAGCAAAGAAAACCTGATATCTTTTGAGAATGTTCTAGACTCACTCCAGACACCTCTACACAGCAGAACTGTGCTAAGAGAAAGGAGCCAGGGCATATGTTGGTGGACACGTGTGTTCCCATTCCATCCTTCTGTACCATTCGAACTTTTAAACACGAACACTACTTATGTGATTTTTTAAAAAACAAACATTCCCAAGTGGATACTTTATAATAATCTCATTATTTATTCACGGAGCCAACTCTGTTTCTACATGCCAAGAGCCACTTAAAAGGGATGGAACGAGAAAGGCTCTGAAACAAGGCTAGGATATTCAAAAGCTGCAATCTTACTCACACAGGTATGAGCGACACCAGTTGGCTTAGCCAGGCAACTGGAAATGGTATCCTCTACCTGAGAAGATGCCTTCAACACTGGAAAGCCGGCTTCTGCTGTGCTGATTGGCAGCAGGTATGGACACTGGATGTTGCTCCTACTCTGAGAAAATACCTCAGACAGGCCCAGAGTCAGCAAGGCCCAGAGTCAGCTTCCCCTGGCTGTGTTGACTATCTGGGTTGGCCTCACCCCATCCCCAATTTCCTACCACCCTTTCTCTCCATCACTGCTTCCTCCATACTGATATCTTGGTCCCCAACGCCTGCATATTGAACAACAGGTTGCGGAGAAAGGCCTGGACTGGGACTCTAGGGGAGACTGTTGTCATACAATGGAGAGAGAAAATCGTAACGGTGCCCATCCTGGATCAGAAGGACATGGGGTAATATGCGGGGCATGCGCAAACAGGCTATGGCTGGTCCCTATCTTATGGGCGTGTTTCCCACTATTGGGACCAGAAACCAACCTTACAGAAGGAGCAAAGGAAGAAAAGAAAGGCTGAAGCCTCCTCCACAGGCCAGCAACTTCATGGAACACCGGAGGAAGGCAGCAGGAACACTGGCGGATTGCACGTTCCCCCAGCACCTCGTCTTGCTACGCGACCAACAACTCTTCTGGTTCCCCCAGCACCCAACAGTTCTTCTGGTCTCTTTCCCAGTCACCATCTTAGCTCTGTAGTTTCAAGTGTACTGCATGCAACACATCTGCCTGCTCCAGAATCGTTCTGGTACCATCCATTGGGTAGCCTTGGCAAGTAGGAACTCAGCTGATTCCATAGATACATAATGCATAAACACAATAAACCCTGCATATTAATACTCCACATAAATCCATTTATTTCATCTTGAAACTATGCTGCCTTAGTTTTAATTAGTACCAAAATACATATGAATCATGTACAAATTACAGTGTTCTTGGAGAGACTGGGGGAAATACAACAATGAAAAGATACTGACTGAAAAATAACTACACTCGTACCTACTTGGAATTTTGTGTGTCTGTGTGTGTGTGCTTGTGGAGGTGTTTTCCTTCCTCATTCTCAACTGTGTTTTCTTAGGAGGACTCCCTCCTGAACCTGGATCTAGCCCAGTCAACAGAGTGCCTGACAGTGCATCTTTGGGATCTGCCTGTCTTAGCCTCCCTGGCACTGGGATTACAAAGGTACATACTTTTATGTGGGTTCTGAAGGAGCAAACTCGGGCCCTTATGCTTGTGCAGCAAGCTCTTAAACTGAACCATCTCCCCAGCTCTCTGTCTGGAATTTTAAGCTATCGTGGAAGGAAAGGAAGACAGAAGCCAAATGAAAAAAGTCACCAGAATGCACTGAGTGATTTTCAGACTGTGCCAGTAACCAGCTCCTGGTGACATTTCCATTTTTTATTTATTCAGGGAAGAAATTCACATTTTAGGACACATCCCATGTGTACGAGATGCTGTTGATGACAAGACATGGGGAGGAAGAATGCAGTTTCTTTCATGTGCCAAACTATTTGCTGTAACTTTTGCTCAGATTTAAAGGCTGGGCAAATGCAATCCCTTCCCCAGGATGAACCGCATATTTTGGAAGCACCAAGACTGCAATATTCATGATTTTATCTAGTTTGCAACTGCCTAGCAAGCAAGTTCCCTCAAACATATCACTGCAAACAAAACTACATTCCACCTGATACTAATAGAACCAGTGGGACAGAGAACGGCTAATGCACTCCATTGGAGAAAACATGCTCACTTTACAGACAGCAACAGTGAGACAGAAGACAGCCTCGGTCAATAGAATAACTCAGTCAATAGGTTGTACTGTTAGCAATGATGGGGAACTACGGACACACCCTCCCAAGCAGAAAACCCACGCTCAGAGCAGATGCAAGTAACAGCTGTGAATGCACAGCTCAGAACCTGACCTAGCACGGGGCCTGCGGCTGGAGTCCTGAGGAAATAAGGACAAGGAGCCCACAAGGAGCTCAACCTAGACAAGTTTTCGATGATCAGATACAGACGGAAGAAAGGCGAGGGAGGGGAAGAGGGGATGTGGATGGGGTACCCTACCCTACCTGTGTGTCGCCAAAGCTCCACAGTGCCAACTTCAACACATGACTCAGCAATCGCGCCGGACTGCAATGGCGTTAAGTGAAAAGGGCTGCGCAGAGACAGCTGTGAGAAATGAATAAATGAATGCTGGAGATAGAAGGGGATGGGGCAGGCTGCGGGTGAGCCCCGATGGGGCAGGCTGCGGGTGAGCCCCGATGGGGCAGGCTGCGGGTGAGCCCCGATGGGGCAGGCTGCGGGTGAGCCCCGATGGGGCAGGCTGCGGGTGAGCCCCGATGGGGCAGGCTGCGGGTGAACGAGCCCCGATGGGTCCAGCATGGAGCCACAAGCCCAGGGCCCTCACATGGTATGACCAGAAATGATCCTGGGAGAATGGGTGGATGTAAGCAGATGTGTGCCCATGCATTTACACCTCAGCTACTTCCAAAAGCAACCTCAAGGCTCTTGTATGAAACCTGCATCACCGGTAAAGTCGGATGACACATGCTGAACTTTCATAATGAACAGGTTCTGCACAAAGCAGAAACAACGTTCTCACTGGAGATCTGACAGGAAGCTCTGGGAGGAAAGAAGACACGTACTTAATTCAGAAGGAGAAGAGGAACAAGAAGGAGGAGGCAGCTTGTTAGAGAATTAGTGGAGTTAGAAAACCAGCAGTAAAGAAACTCAATGGATGCTACAACAGGATGGGATCCTAGGACAATGCTAAACATCTTAGTTTGCAAATAATGAAATAGGACTGGTCGGAAGGCAAGGGGAGGGGTGAGGTCCAGCTATCTAGAGACAGGGCCGAGATCAGAGCCTACCTTTTAATTTCCAGTTTGGTATTCTGCCCTATTGTCAACCTATCAATCCACAAAGCAGTAAGAACAGAACTTGGCAGAGCTAAATAATGATAACAATAATCAATCATGGAAGGCTTTATTATTCCGGGTATTATTAAAACAAATTCAAGGTTTTTGTAGGCTTGGAAATCAAGCACTTCTGGTTAGATCCTATGCTAGAATGTGCTGGCAGTCAAGATAGTTCACCATTGGGTAGATGGTGCTCATCAACCCAGTAGAGTTAGGTTGTACATAATCCATGCACATTGCATTATTACCAACACCTTAGACTTAGGAACTTGACAGGAGCATATGTGTGTATGATGAACCATCCTTTCTAACAATATATAGATTTGTAAAAAATCTTTGTGTTCACTTGAGGCTGATTTGTTTTGTGAGACACCATGCCCAGGTAATGCGGGGCCGGGGATCAAACCCCAGGCTTCATGTATGTAGTTAAGCACTCTACCAACCTGGCTACACCCCCAGCCCAGACTTTAAATCTTGTAATGAAATTTCCTGGGCATGTCTCTCAAATGCCATTTCAGCAGACAAGAGGTGGGGGTGGAAACAGCAATAGCTAACAAGACTGTTATGGATGTGACATTATCAGTTCATGTTTTAACAAGCATTGAATACAACTAAGAAAGAAGTCTGATATCTATAGTCATGCTACTTTTAAATCTCTCTGAAAACATTTGAGAACAGAAACGGATTCTACCCATGTTAAAAAGTGAGCTTCCTAGGCAAGTCTGCATATGTGATCTCTCTGGATTGAGGCGGTAAGAACTGGGAGTCTAATGGGAGGATGGGGAGAGGTCATCTGTTCCCTTGGACTTTGTAAGCATCTGCAATAATTTTGATAGCACCCCATTAAATACAGAAGGAAACAGCGGTCCAGATAATCCTATGGATTGACTCTGCAAAGAGCCTTAGCTGTCAGCTTCTTGGGGCCAGATTGCCTTGAAGTTTACATAAATTTTAGTCAGTGCAAGATGATGTTTCATAGACCCCCTCTCTGAAATGCTACCTCTTATTTCTTTAAGCAGGAGCCTGGCATCCTGGAACTCCCATTGGCTTTCTACAAGAAATCTTGTATTGAAAATCAAAACCATTTCTTTTATTCTGAGCCACTGGAGAACAGGGGCTTCAAAGAGAATTGAGTCAATGTGTGACATTTATCTTCATAGCAAAGGGACATCATCTTCCCTCTAGCGTGTCCCCTTTCAGAGGAGCCGTGTAGCATGTGCTGGGGGGCGCAGGTCACATGAGAGAAACCTCCCACTCGAGTGTCACATCTCTCTGGAGGGGCAGAGAGGCTACGGAGTGCTGGACTCTCAAGGAATTCAACACACCACGACCTGACAACAACAGAATCCTACTCAAAAAAGAAGAAGAAAGCCAGACCGAAGAGGCACCATTTGTTCATGATCTGGACTCCCTTGACCTAAAGAAGGTCAAAGCAATGTCTGGTGTCTAAATTACTTGAGACAGCACCGGAGTCCCCAGCCCACAGCTCTTTGGAACTTCAGAGACAACTTTCTATGCCCTTTTTGTAACATTTTGAGAAACAGCTTTTAAAAAAACTCTTGAAATCGGGGTGGTGTATGACTTTGTGGTCTCTTTGCAGAGCTGGGGGCGTGGAGCGATATGTGTTTGTTTGGGGGTAGTTTCTCTTTTATTTTGTTCCCTGATATAGGGTCTCATGTAGTCCAGGCTAACCTCAATCCCATTATGTAGCCAAGGATGACCTTGAACTTCTGGTCCTTCTGCCTTTACCTCTCCGATGGAGCATCTGAACTGGCACTGATTCCAGTAGTCACACCTCTTCCTGGTGTCCCTCATGAAAACCTAGTAAAAAGCCCACAGACGTGCTGGCAAGACCTGGCACATTTAAACCAAAAGGGGAGCTCGTCTTCTCTCGTCTTCTCTCCTCAGGACCACAGCCGACAGCAAAACACACAAAAGACCAGCTTTGTCCCGAGAGTTGTGACTTCTTTCTCGTCTCTAAACCCATCTATTGTTTGAGTGAAAAAGTTTTCTCTTGCAGTTTTTGCCTTTTATAGCCAAGACCACTTTAAAATAACTAAGGGACTTCAGTGTGCCTTCAGGAGACTGGCTTTATCAGTCATTTCTTTCCACGCCCCAGTCAACTAACTACCGCTCGCTCCTCAATGGGTCTGTGCTTCTCCAAGTAATTGATGCCCAGACGGGTGCATGACATAGACATCGCTCACGAACCCACTGCCTCACAGGAAGGAGACTGTTGGTAGAACTGCATTTTACATACGGACTTGCCTCCCTAAACCAGATGACTCTGAGTCAGAAGTGATATGTCCATTGGAAAATTACTCTTCCTCATTTTGAACCATTCCTGCTTCGTCACAAGGAAGGTGAGGTGTCAGGAGAAGGGAGACCCAGAATGAACAAGAATTTAGTTACTCAAAGGACGCATCAGAAACTCAGGAGTGGACGGCTTGCCTCACTTGAGTCAGAGTCCCAGTTACTCATTCTCGGTCTGTTCTGCTGTTCAGCAGGGTTTTGTTTGTTTGTTTGTTTGTTTGTTTGTTTGTAGACAGGGTCTAACTTTGAGTCCAGCCTGGTTTCAAACCTGCATTCCTTCTGAATGCTGGGGTACCAGGTCACCACCGTGCCTAACTCGTTTGCAAAAGTTTGTTGTTGCTGCCATTGTTTGTTTTACACGTGTGTGTGTGCATGTATGTATACATGCGTGCATGTATGTATGTGGCCTATGTATGCTGTATGCATAGAGGTCAGAGGTCAACTGTCACGAGTTGTGCTCTACTTTCGTTATTTGGGTTCTAGGGATCTAGGGTGGTCGGGTAAGTGGCAGGCACCTTTGTCTACAGAGCCAACCTGCTGACCCTACACAGGTCTGAAAGTGATGACAATTACAGTACTTAACTCACTGAAAACCGAGATGGCCCCGTGTCATGGCACCGAATTGATGCTGACCACTGAGGGGCAGCCATCACAAACACACTTCACCAACGCAGCTGCAAATGATTGACAGACGTCAGGACACAGACCGGCTATCCGGCCGGACACAGCCCACTTGCTGTTCCAGTTTTGCAGGATACCCTTGAGAAACAACTGAAATTACCCCTATCCCAGAAGCAGGCACTTATCACAAAGACGGTTTGGAAGCAAACCAGTGCATGAAATCACATTGCCGTGGTGGCATGGTAGTGACTGAGCCGCTCCCTTAGAGGATGTGGCCGCCAGTGCCAGGGCTCTGTGGGATAGCGACGTCTCAGGAAGAGACCATCTTACACTGCCGCACATGCGGCCTTTCATGGCTGGACGGACTTGGCCAAAACGAAGCACTGTGCAAGGCATGCTTGCGTTCTGTTTGACAAGAAATTACAGGTGAATAGAACAGGTGAACAAAGCTTAAGCTCCACACACACACACACAAAAACGTTAATAAAAATGCTAACATAAAGGTGTGATCAATTAGGGCAGTGCAGTCACTGATTATACAAAGGTCCATTTGTGACAGAGGCAGCAGGGCCTCCCCTTGTCCACTATTTCAAAAGCAGTGTTTTCCCCCTCTGTGTTCACTGATGCCTTGCACTCTGACAGACGCGCTTTGATCTTCCCCCATTAAATGCATCTGGTATGGACCTAGTCTGAACTTGGTAAGGGGCGGGGGAGGGGTGCATGAAAGAGAGGGAGTTCTGCACATCGCTGAGATTATTCATTACTTTTCAAAAACCACAGCTACTTGTGAAGGCTGTGTGTAGCGCACACATGAAAGACTATTATGCTGTCCATTTTAAGTATTTTGTTGTGTTCCTGCTTTTTGATTCTACCTCATCTTAGACAGGGAGTCCCACAGTCAAAGCGACCCACACCGCGGCTGAACCAGACTCCATACCTGAATTGGAGGGCTTGGAGACTCTTCCCTTGGAAACTGGAAGTAACAATAATTCCAAGGACTGAGGCTGTGCGGATGCAGGAGGAGGAGGCGGCGGCGGGGTGACTTTTTCTGGCTTCTTCTCAGAAGGCTGCAGTGGTAGGGGGTCGTCAGGCAACAAGGATGACTTCTCAGCCAGGAGGCTCCCTGCGGCCCTGGCAGCCACCTCTTTCAGAAGGGCTGCGGAGGACGTCATGGAGGCCAAGGACAGGAAGGAGCTGGCTGGGGGCGGGTGCTCCTGACCCGGGGTCAGACTTCTCTCGCTCACTTTCTTAGACAAAGCTGCCAAGGTGGAGCTGGCGGACTGGGAGCTGAAGGGTGAGGGAAAGGACTCAAACCTCAGGGTCTCCTCTGTCCGGGACAGGGACTTGTCCTGCAGAACAGCGTTGGCTGCAGCCTTCAGTTTGAGGATGGCCGAATCCGGGGACAGGCCACAGGTGGTGGTTGAGTTGGGCAACCACTTACCTTGATTCCATATGAAACGGTTACTTGGGGTGTATTGGTCATTCTGATCCTGCTTCTCTGCCAGCTTCCTGGCCAGGACACTGAGTTGCTGGGCGTGGTGGGAGGGCGGGGAGAATGACAGACTGGACGCGACATTCACGGGGGACTCCACCCTGCCGTTGGCTGTGGTATCGAGTTTAAGGGAGCCGGCTTCCAGCAGCCGCCTCAGGTTGCTGCTGAGAGGTTTATTGGAACCAGGCGGGTCGTCGTCACACACGGAAGACACTCCGGGAGAAAGGTGGTCCTGACACTGCAGTGAGTCTCGAAGGATGTCACCATCCAGTGCCACCAGCTCCAGCGTGTGGCTGCTGGGAGTGGCGCTGCCCAGAGAGGTGTCAGGGGATGTGGACTGCTCTTGGATCCGGTCCTCCAGGGACAGCGCATAGTTCTCCTGGACTTCCCCATAGGACGCCTCTGATGGAGTCTCTGAAGAGTTCCCATACCAGTGTTCTCCTTCGCTGAACTCTCCCTCGGCTTCAGCCTGCCTACTAACATCTGGGGGAATCAAGAAGACCGGGTTATTCCCAAAGAGAATGGCCAGTTGGTCTGAGACACCCAAAAGGGGGTGGTGGCATGCGCTCTCTTCCCTTCCACCCCAGAACCACACAAGAGCCAGCGACGCCAAGTGCTGACTCAAGGTAAACACGCCAAACAGGCAAAGACAGAAACACCAGCGCACGGCGAGTCTGTCTTTCCAGCGGTGATTCGGTAGGGGCTGAAGTAGACAAAGGGAAGAGGGAAAAAGTGACCAGCAGGGAAGTGGCTAGATGAAAACCCCACTGCTCTCCGTGGGTGGGGAAGACAAAGTAAGCCCAAAGGCTTGCAAACAGCAAGCCGGTACCCTTTGGATAGCATCAGCACTGGAGAGCAGCCTGCAGAGCCGGGAAGCGGCCCCCATCCCGCCCTCCCCACCTCACCCCCAGTTCTAGCCCAGTGATCTCAGGGAGATCACCTAGGTGGTTTGAGGCCCCATTTCCTCCAGTATGAGATGCAATGCAGTTCTTATTAAGGCTCCTCGGGCATCTAAACACTGCCTACCACACTTCTCTTGGCCAGTGGTCAGGAAGCTTACGTTCCAACAAGGCATGTGACCGTGTTTTGGAAACAGAAAAGTGCTCCCTACAAATCAGATCTCACCAGCAAATGCAGTTTGTATTAGTGACTTCTTGAGTGAGTGTGTCTGTGTCCGGGGTACGCACGACACTGGCGCCCAGCTCTCTGATTTCTATCACCAGCTTTCTTGCCATGAACGTAAGGGTAGTGACTAGGAAGCTGTTCCTTTACACCTCTACGAGTTCTCGAAAGCTATTTTCTATCCATTAATATACAGATCCACCACCGCTGTGGTCCTCCCTCCCCAACACTTGTCAGGTGGAACTTCATATTCCAGGATTGCTGGTGAGGGTCACCACGTTTTCACCTTTGTGACCTTCATCTGGAAAGCCCTTTCCCAGAAAGGCTGGTGGCCACAGTCTACCCATCATCCTTCGCGCCCAGCTCAGGGGTTCTTTCCTTACAACTGTCCCGAGGAATCAGTCTCCATCCTTCTCACTCATTCAGCCAATACTTAGTGTGTGCCAGGCATTACTCTAGACTGTTCTAAACAACGTCTAACAAAGTAACGAGCCTGCCTTCTTGGAGCTTTCTCTTCAGCAGGGGAAGAAAGCTGTTAGACTGCACTTAACAGACGGTGCAACGGACAGGAGGCTGGGACACAATGTGACAAGGTTAGGCCATCGGTAGGAGGCAGGGTGCAATTTCAGACAAGGTGGCAGGGTCGCTCGCTGGCATCAAAGGGAAGTGGAGGCTGGGAGAGTGGCCCAGGTAGGAGAGGAAGAGCCACTGTGATTTGCAACACAATATTCTCTTCACCACAGCTTTCCAATGCGGTGAAGTGCCGGGCCGGTGGTGAGTGCCGGGGGGGGGGCACGGTGGAGAGGAGGGGCAGTGTCTCCCTGCAGTGACCTTGTGAATGAGTGAGGGTGTCATATGCAGATCAGTAACGTGCTTCAGACTTGAAGCTAGCAAAACTGGCATGTGGCACCAAAGATTGGTCCCTCTGGCAGCCTCATGGGAAACAGCCTCAGTTGAAGCAGACCACCTCAGGGACAGAAGCAGACAGGGAGGAAGGGGCTCCCTACAGGTGACAGCTGGAGGCCAGATTCCAGGGTATTTTAGTGTTTTGTTGACACTTACTCGAAGACACCAGCTTCCCCTTTAGGGGTGCTCCTTTGGGGGCAGGATTGTGCTCCCCCACCTACACACCCCACTTTGAGACTAGCAGGGAGTCTGGTCCCCAGCAGAGTCCACCAATGTTTGGAGACTGCTCCAAATTCCTCCTGGCAGACATTTGTTTTCAGACCTGGAACTACACAAGGAACTACAAGCAAACACATTGATCTTCCCCTGCTGTTCAGAGACAAATGACAAATTCTCTCACTAGGTGAAAGTTCTACAACTCTTTCCACAGGTCTCTTATTAACTTAACAAGAAAATGTAAAACATCAAATGGAATTTGCTTTAAAAAAAACTGCTAAAGCTGAATTTCCACAGTTAAAACCAGTCTGGTTCCCTGACATTTGCCACATTTCCCTTTTCTCAGTTGACTTCTACATTTTTTTGTCTGTCCTGAAATCCTCATTTCCCCAATGGCTTCCAGGAGTGGGGTTGCTTTTTACCAAACCTCAAGCAGTCAACATCAACCCCAACATTGAAGATAATTTTATGTCCTTTGCAAACTACCTGCCTTGATTTCAAATTAAATGCCTCATCCTTAACAACAAACAAAAAACAAAAATAAATATAAAATCACATGGGACCTCTACTATAAACAATAAAAAAGGTCAAAGACTTTAAGAATCATCACAGTAAGGATTAGCTGACTCTTCTTTGGTCATTACATATATTAATACATGACCCAAAGTGAAGTGCTTTGGGGTTCTGTTTTCATACTGGTGGAGACTGGTCCTGAACCAATTCATGAAGAGTCAACTATGAAGATCCAGGAAATGAGGGTTTCGAGAACCTAAAAAGTTACAGACAGGTGTCCAATCTTGTCATTTCACTGAGATGATGAAATACACTAAGGGTAACCAGCTAACTCAAGGCCATATGGCTTCCTACCACTGATAGCAAGACTGAGGACCCAAATGTCTGGACACCTGGCCCAGGGCCTCTCTGCTAATCAGACAGCCTGCCACGGGGCCTCCAGGATGGCTCTGCAGGAAGTTCTGAGAGGCTGGCTGCCCTCGCCTATACCCTCAGATGTCTTTTTATCGCTTGAATCAGAAATCAACACGAGGGGGGGTCATCCTACATAAAGACCATTTCACTCCCTGTTTGTCCTTAGGAGATGACTCTTCACTACTAAGCTTCTCTCTCTCCACTCTCTTTGTCATAGGAGACAGAAGTTGACCTGACTGCCTAAGGAATGCAGTGCATCTAGTAGCAAAGGCCAAAGCATGGCTATATTTCCTAAGCCTGTCCACACCCTCAGGGGTACAAAATGTCCCTCGTGCAGCAGGTGAGCGGGTCAGAAGCTAAGAGAGCTATCCACTCAGACTAACCCCTCCTCGCAAGGAAGATGGCATCAAAGAAAACGTGACCGCCAACCTCACCAGGGAACACCCCCTAAATGCCTGTGTCTCTCTCAAGCCTCCATCCTTAGCAGATGTGATCAGGGAGACCAACGTTCCTCTGAACTTTTGGAAAACTGGGATGTGCAGATCATATAATCGCTGTGACGGTTGCTTTTTATCACCAACCCGATTGGATCTGGAATTAGCCAGCAGACACACTGTTGAAGGGCGTCTGTGGAAGTATTTCCTAGAAGAAGTGACTGGAGGAGGAACATCAAAGAGGTCTGAGGGAAAAGCCGGACTGATTTCGCCTGCCTTAATCTTTGCTGATGACTGGGTCAGCTTTGTTGCAGCTACTGCTGCCACCATCCTTGGCTGGTGATGCACCCTGGCTTCCTCAGCCTTTGAGTATGGACCAAAGACCCATGATGCTCAATGTTCCCAGCATCCTCCAGGCCTTCAGTGCCAGACTGGGACTGCGGAGGCATCCAGACTCATGTACTGATCAGCTGAGAAGCCAATAATCCTCATATACTCCAATATAAATACCCAGAAGTATCATGTAAGTATCACGTTACATTTGTGATACACAACAATTCTGTTGGTCCTGTTCTCCCAGGGAACTCTAATGGGGATGTGCTTCTGTATGTTGTGAATATATGTTTCTCTTGTTGGTTGATGAATACGGCTGTTTCAACCAATGGACAGGCAGGATTTGGCCAGGTGGGAAATCCAAACAGGGAGAGAGAGAAAGGTAATGTGTGGGGTCAGGGAGATGCCATGGAGCTGCCAAGGAAGCAAGAGGCCTGGACATCAACGGCAAGCCAAGTTCACGTGGAGATACACAGACTAATAGAAACGGGTTAATAATTAAGAGAGAGTTAGCCAATAAGAAGCCTGAGCCATAGGCCAAACATCTTATAATTAATAGAAGCCTCTGTGTGTTTATTTGGGACTAAACAGCTGCGGGACCAGATGGGACAGAAACTTCTATCTATAGAACTCTGAGAAATCAGCACCACACAATCACATTTCTCAAGTCTGAGCAATTCAAACAACCAGAGAATTTAACACAGTCCCTCAAAAGACAGTTGAGAAGAAACATGGCTAAAATGATTCTTATATCCTTGAGGTCAAATCAGAAGCACAGGAGGCCTTTAGAAAAATAACTCAGATAACTAAGGATATAAAGAGATGGAGGAAAATCAAGTGCACTGTCTGTTTGTAGGGCTACGAGGGGCTTTCCCCACAACTGTAAATCATTCATTAGTATTTGTTATTTTGTCTATTTTCACATTGAGTGCTGCGAAGCAAGGGTTCCTGGAGACTGGGCTAGGCCAGCTGCAGGGAGCTCCTGTCCCTGGGCGGCATGAGGAAAGACTCCCGCTGGCAGGCCTGTCACTCTGGGCCGCTGTGCAGTTCAGAAGAGGGACCTGCTGGATGCCGCCAAGTGCAGGACATGTAATTCCCGACTTCCAGTTCCAGAATCCGAGAAGGCCCGGCAGCAAGACACCTCCATCTTCTTGTCCATCAACCAGCATGAAATCAGCTAGGAAATCGCAGAGCAGCGCAAAGTCCGGGCAAGGCTTCCTGTGGCTTTCACAGCTTTCTCAACCAAGGCTTCCTGGGGAAGCCTCTAAATGGCCAATGCAAATAACTCTAGTAAACACATTACTTTTAACTTCTAAAAAAAAAGTTGTTTCCATTGTTCTTCCTCCAACAATCTCTGTCTAGGCTGTCACGTTTGCACTATTTCTTGTCGGTTTTACACAACGGTGTAACCAGCACTCGTGTGTGTGTGTGTGTGTGTGTGTGTGTGTGTGTGTGTGTGTGTGTGTTAAAAATTCATTATTTGTTTGTGGGCTTCCATCCATTTTCATCTTGAGTGCTGTGAAAAATCAGAAACCAAAGAATTAA